AATATTCACCATTAAAGGGGAAACGTAGGCAGACTTTTAATCAGGTTGCAGCTAGTCATCATCATCATCATCAGGTGCCTTGCCGACTGGCGTGGGCGATCATGCCTCTCCATAATCTGCGATCTCCTGCAGCATGTATCAGTTCGGGTGCCGACACACCTCCATGCCATGCAACAAGACTGTCAAGCATCTTCTCTCGTTGTCGTCCACTATCTCTCCTTCCACAGATCTTTCCAGTGGTTACAACATTTTCTATTTTCCCTCTTCTCATAACATGGCCGAAAAATGATGTCTCCTTCTGATGTCTGTGATAAGTTGTCTTCGGGCTCCCGCCTCTTTCAAAACCTCTTGGTTGCTCTATTTGGCTGTCCAAGGTATTCTAAGCATTCTTCTGTAAAACCTAATCTCCGAGGCCTCCAGAAATTGTTTGGCCTGCCTACCGATTGTCCAGGATTCACAGCCATATGTTAAAACTGGATGTATGTAGCAAGCAAGAATTCTTTTTCTAACTCTCAATGACAAGGATATATTGCACAAGATGTTTTTCATTTGATAAAATGCAGTTTTTGCCTGTCCTATTCTATTTCTTATCTCAGTTATGCATCTTCCATCTGATGTTATCCATGTGCCCAGATACTTAAATTTCTGTACTTGTCCTAAAATAATACCATCAACTTTTATTACACATTTAGGAATAATTCGTTTCTTTGATACCACCATTACTTCTGTCTTCCTATTATTCAAACTGAGGCCCATTCTTCCACTTTCTAACACCACAATGTCTATTATTTCCTGTAGTTCTTTCTGACTTGCTGCAGCTAGTACCAGTATCATATCAACTCTGACGAAAGGGACGGAACACGTGTGGGAGTGTCCCGACTGCAGTGATGTAAGTTCTTGATACAATCAATTTTACGAAGGTGAGGGTGTTGGAGGGTTGTTATGGCAGCGAGGTTCCGCGAGGGACATGCTACTGAATGAATGAATGAGGGTGTTGGCTCACGCTTCAAGTTTCAACTTCCAATCTGGAGAACCAGATGTGGACTTACCAAAAAAAAAAAAAAAATAGTCGAAAGGATCACCTTCGTTACAATAGGGATATCAAATAAGGCTCGATTTCTTTCCGTAGAACTGTCAACCGTCTGTTGAAAGCGTTTCAGGAATGTTCCATATTAAAATCGACATGTCGCATTTCCGCCCGCACTTTATTGGCTAGCTGACAGCCAATCACAAAGGCATGTCTTACAAATGGCGGGGGACGCAAAATTTGTCAATTCAGGGAAAGTGTTGAGTTGAAAAATGTACATCTGCAAACTGTTTGCCTGTTCTTATATCTGATGATTATTTGGAGTAGTTACAAAGACGTTGTAATTTGAAGGTATCTTTTTAAAAGTTTAATTATGTTTGGAATTATTGTATTACATTTCTGAAAGTGAAAGCTTCCAGTGTGATTTGTTAATTTAATAACAAATAATTGAAATAACTTATTTTCGAATGTTGTTGTTCGGGAACCATTCCGACGGCCGACTCAGTCAAGATGTGCAAGCAGTAGTCGGATCAGTTTATTATATTGAAAGAAGTTGCATTAAAAAAATAAAAAAATCATGAATGGAAAATAAAATAAATGGGTCTAAACCTTAACTTAAAGTTTAAGTTTAAGAACGCCAGCTGACAAAAATAGACTAGACTATCAAAACAATTAATTACTAGAGAACTAGAGAGAAACAGACTTCAAGTGCTAGTCGGACTAAACTTGTTCTCTCACACCACAGTCAGTCAGCAGTCACTACCACGGGTCCTGTCGAACTAAAACGTTGGAATTTATTTTATGCTACAAATATAAACAAAAAAGTATTTGCTTAGTCTTCGTTTTAATTTGAGAAAATCCATAATTATATTTAATAATAAAAAAAAAAGAATTATAAAACAGTGATTGGTTTAATTAATTTCTACTAGAGTTTGAGTTAGTATTATTTGAAAATAAATAAGCAAGCATTATTTATTACGAACACATTCTTTGACCATAGAGATTCACAACTTTACACTTGGTACAAATGGAATGATGTCTCCATCAAGAGCCAGATTGACTTTATACTTACCAGAGTTCAAGGAAGAAGGATAATTCTTTATTCAAGAGCAATCCCTAATGGTCTATGTGACACTGACCATAAAATAGTTGTGTTAACAGCGAAACATCTTACATTAAAGAAACACAGAAAGAAATTAACCAAAAATAAGGATCTCATCAAGATAGCAAATCTGAAACAGGAAGGAGTTAAAGAACAGTTACAACAGAAAGTAGAGACAGCATTAAAACAACTTCCACATGTAGTTGGCAATATTGAGGAAGAATGGAGTAAATATAAAAACACTATGCTTAGTATTGCAGAAGAATTATGTGGAAAACGGAAGAGTGGAAACAGACGGGGAAATAACATATAATTCACCTTGGTGGTGCGAAGAAGTAAAAGATGCAATTAAAAAGAAAAAAAAGGACACATAAACAGTGGATAAAATCAAAGAAAGAAGAAGATTAGATAAACTATAGACTGCAAAGGTGAGAAACCAACAGGAGTGTCAAGAAAGCATAACAAACATCCTGGGAACATTTCGGTGAGTCATTAGCAGAAAATGAGAAAACAACCAGCAGAAAATTTTTCAAAGTAGTTAAAAATATGCGGAAAAGAGATGAGAGCTACAACCCCATTGAAATAATTAATGATAAGACAGGAAGGCCATTGATAGATCCCGAGATAGCAGAAAGATGGAGGGAATACTTCAATGAGCTCTTTAATCCTCTAGGAGATCATCAGGAAAGAACAACTAAAGAGCACAGAGCAACAGTGTTAGAACCACACATACTAATGGATGAAATAGAAAAAGTCATTAAGCAGTCTCCCAAATATAAAGCACCAGGAGCTGATAGATTACCAACAGAAATAATTCAAATAGCAGGTGAAAGCAGCATCAGATGGCTTCACAGAATATTTAATGTAGCATGGGTACAACAAACTGCCCCTATTGATTGGCAACATGCAATAGTTATACCATTGTGGAAGAACAAAGGAAGCAAACGAGAATGTGGTCAATACCGAGGCATCTCTCTTTTAAGCCATGTTGGCAAAATGTATGCCAAGATAATAGAATAAGTCTCAAAAAAGAATGTTTTAACCAAATGTTTATATTTTGCTATTTCTTTTTTAACTAATACATTTAATTAACAATTAAGTGAAGAAAATATAGGAAAGTGCTTTGACTGCAATTTTGAAAGTCATTGACAGGCTTCATAGCCTGGGTGTAGTGGTACCCAACAGAGAAAAATAAAAATATCTCAGTATCCAGTCCATTTTCCTCAGATGCAAGCATATTCATATGACAGGAGCAATTTTCTGGTGCTATGGCAACCAATCACTCTAATTTTTCTATCATGGTCACACATATTCCTTTCTCTTTCAAGCATTTTAATAAGATGTTTACACATTAGAGACTGTCAAATAGTACTTTCATATCCTGACTGGTTTAACTCTTTCAGTCCCAAGGAACAAATCATGCATTAATAGGTTCCTACACAGAGAAGCCCAATAGACGCAAGATGCACTGATTTTACATCCCTTTTTACTACCCATAGGGCCTGTGATGCTAAATCCTTTGGGATTGAAATAAAGTATCTTCAGGCGATTTTAAATGGTTTATAGACTGGTTGGCTATCCTCTGAATAACGGTCCCAAATTATCGAGGCCGAAAATATACCCTAACAGGGCCTCAGTCTCATGTAAATTACGGACCTCTCTCCGACGACTATACCGCCACCGCCGAGAGTATCTCCCACGCTGCTGCGTGAGGTGCGGAGTGGGGCTAAACTAAATGCTGGGACTCACAAACAAATAAAATGAAGGGAGATGCAGTAGCTGCTGCTTGCGAGTTCCAGCCATCTAGTTTAGCCGCGCGTAGCGGTGCGAAGGTAATCTTGGCGGAAGCTTTTCCGCGGTATGCTGTGTAGTCGCAGGAAAGAGATCCACAATTTACATGTAGCTTTACATGTAGTCCATAGCTTTTGACACAAGCAGTTTAGCCACTCAGCATCTGAGAGTCCTCATATAACACGCACACACACACAAATCACAATGTATTAGTCCTCAGTTAGCACGAATTCGTTTAAATAAACAATAGATTTTTCAGTCACGTGGAATTCGTGTGAGTGAGTTTTTACTGTAATAAAGTTCCAAAACTTTTTTTTGAAAAAAAAACCTGGTTGTTTAACATGGTTACAAAGATGTAAAGCACAGAATATATGAGGGGTAGTCTTTTAGTAAAGGCGATTGCATTAATAAGTTTTTTTATAGGTGGCCAGACAAAACTGATCTATCCTATTTCTCGACAGTCTCCCTGCCTTGCAACACACGGATCCACAAGATTGTGGCTGCCTGCCAGGTGGAAGCTTTTGGGTGTGCCAGCAACCAAGTTTGCAACACCACATCGCCTCATTTTCATTTGCAAATCTCTGACCTCGCTAATCTTCTTTTAATGGGCCAAACAAATGAAAGTCTGATGGTGCCAAGTCTGATCTGTATTTTGGATGTTTCACTACTTCAGTCCACAGAGTCTGGTTTATCCACTGTATGCGCAGCAGTGTGGGGGCATACTGTTCCATACAGACTAGGATAAAGCTGTCTTTACGTAATGACTTCCCCTCTAAGTTTACAGGTGTTGAGTTGAGTCAAGAATTAACATCACAGCACTCGGGGCATTCCCATGCATGCTCCGTCCTCATCTTCAGCAGCCAGCACAGTTCCAATACTGATGGGACCGGTCACAATCTGCTTATATATCCGTCTTGCCTTTCCTCTGAGTGTAGTGAGCTTGACTTATTGACATATTTTTTGTTTGTTTTTGTTATAGCATTTCACATCTTTTTTTTACTTGCTTAAAACAGAAACAATAATATTTTGTTTCAATCAGGAATCAAGAGTCTGACAAAAAAAAAGTTAAATTCTTACTAAATGAACATGTCAACTTCGGCCCAAGTCCGCAGGAGATTACGGAATACCCCAACAAAGCCCAGGTTTGTAGTTTGTATTCAGGGATATTTTTAAGGTTTAAACAACAGATCATCCTCATGGCACAAGGGTAGTAACCTGTGATACTGTTGTTTGGCTCGTTCTAATTTCTGGACATTATACGTAAGTGCGCTCCGTTCTACTACTAACTGAAGTCTGTGTCTGAAAAATCTCAGCACATTGCAGAAACCTGTAGCAACGGTGAGGATCCTGAAATACTTTGAGTAGATTATTAATTACAAATTTAGCTCGTGCAGTGCAATTAGGCTACACTTTTTGGTTTTCAAATGCGAAGGGAAATCCTCTGTGCGCAACAGTACACATTGGCGTCCAATCTAACTACCCAGAGACAAGGGGAAATTAATAGAAGTCCATGCCTGGAGACCAAGCAACCTTTGTAGTTGTTATGCTCGTGCAGTGCAGTTAGGCTACTCTTTTTGATTTTCAACTGCGAAGGGAATTCCTCTGTGCGCAACAGTACACATGGGCGTCCAATCTAACTACCCAGAGACAAGGGGAAATTAATAGAAGTCCATGCCTGGAGACCAAGCAACCTTTGTAGTTGTTATGCATGTTTGTGTGTGTGTGTGTGTGTGTATGTGTGTGAATGCATATATTCTGATGTGTCTGTATGTGATTATTTTTCTTTTTTCTTAAAGATTTTAAGAAAAAATAAGCAGCAGTCTAACTTCTTGTCTCCTAAAACAGTACAGTTTGTGATCAGCCATTTTTCTCATGCATCAAATAATGCATGTATCGTCACATCTGTTATTTTTGGCTTGAGCTTGCTAAAAAGATCTGGCCAGATATTTGAATTTTTTTATCAGTATTTAGTGCAACTTGACAAGAAAAATGGCCTTTTGCTTATCTTATTGAGGTTATTGACCTTTTGGTCTGTTTAGGAATGCAAGAGTTATTGTAGAAAATAGCTTTCATTTCTTTATAGAACTATTGTAACAAACATCTACTGACCTCAAGGGTTTGAACAACGTTTTGGGCCTCTTTTATGTCGTGAGATGTATTGGATATGTGGAGCTAGTCCTCTGTTTTTAAATGAATAGACACTTGACGATGGATGCTATTATAAAACCAACCGTCTTTACTTCCCAGCACATTTCCTGCTACCCATTTTAGGCTTGTTCAACTGGGAGAGCAGGTCAATGAAACAAAATTCAGGCGTCATATGGGATTTAAACTCACCATAAATATGTCAGTAACAAAATAAACAAATTTGCAGGACATCAGGAGCCTCTCATGGCAGTGTTAAATGTCACATGCTAGCTTGGTTTGGGCACGTGGTGAGACATGATTCAGTTTCCAAGACTACTTCAAGTAACACTGGAGATATGGACAGGATTAAGTTATCATAAATTGTTCAACAAGCGGAAGACAAAGATGGCAGATTTTTACACCTCCAAAACCCTAATGGGTCAAGGGTTATGTTGTGTTAAACTCATCACCCTCATGCCACTAGCTATAGATGAAAGTCACTACACTACCTTGATGCCACAGTAGCATGACATGCTTTACTGCAAAACACTAGCTCTTATTATTTCATTGTTAAGGATACATACCCAAAAAAAAAAAAAACAATAATAAATAATACTGTCTTTTCGCAACCAAAACATTGAATTATACTCTGACATAGCCCATGATGAATGAGATGTTCAATATATGAAAGTGAGGTTAAACAGTCATGAGCAGGACGTGACAATTCCTTGTTTGTGCCCAATACCAGAGCACCATGTATTAGCTCTGCATTTATGAAAGCCTCCTTGGATTGGGGGGGGGGGGATGCTCATGTTCTGCCCCTGACTTCTCTTGAGGCTGACCAGCATTACATGGCTTCTCTGGACGGGCCTGATGTGGGGCACTGCCTGTGACCTGTGAAACAAAGATGACCACACAACAATGAGACTTCAGTGTCCCACAAAACTTACCGGGGAAGGCTAACATGATCAGCAAATGCCAGAGGGCACCAATATCAGTCAAGGTGTAAACAAGCACAACACATTTACATCTTTGGATGAACTCAGAAGAATAAAAAATACACCTTGTAGTCTTTGGCTAATAAACAGCATCCTTTCTCAGCCGCTGAAATATTTTGGTCATATCAAGCGCCACAACGGATTGGAAAAAATTATAGCAGAAGGCATGGTACCAGGAAGGAGGGGCAGGGCCGACCGACACGAAGATGGGCACAGGATATAAGTGACTCCTTGAGTGTTAAAGTTTATGAGGCGGGAGAACTGGCAGGAGACAAAGTTTCTTACAGGCAGACTGTGATGAGAGCGACGTTCTGCAAAGGACCTGCTACTTGATGATGATGATGAGTCCTTGCATGCATTTTTGTCTTTTGTCACCACATGCATGCACACATGTGTGCGCACACACATACTCTCTCTCTTTCTGTTGTTTTCATAGAGTTTGTTTTCTCCGCAGATCTGAATCAGAAGTCCCCTTTCCGAAACGAGCGAGGCTGGCTGCGTCCAATGACAGTCCAGTGTCATCTCCAATTAAAAGCCCTCTAAAACCGTCTGCAGAGGAAAATTCTGGATCTATTCTTACTGCATCTTTCTATGGCCTACAGAAAAATAAAACGGTCAAGGAAAATGTACCTTTAGCAGCTAGGAAAAACAACAAATCTGACAGTGTTAAGTCTTCTCATATGTCAGGGCAGCTAGCAAAATGTATGACTGAAAGTGGTAAGTCTACAAGTGAAAGATCCAACCTGGATAAGCTGATGCTGGGAAAGATTGCTCTGTCTCCTGTGAAACAGGCATTTCTTCAAACCTGCGGTCTTGTAGAATTCAGGAAAGTTTACAGAAATGAATATAAAGTGTTGGAGGAAGAAATGAAAAGGGCACATGTCAGAGTGACTAGACTGTTATCACATAGTTTGAACAAAACAACAGAGGAAGATTTAACTGAGGATTCTACTGATGAAGAAGACACCGTAGAGAAAAATATTAATTCTCAGACCAGAGCCAAACTTCCCTCAAAATCTGTTGCTGGCATTTGTGACAGTCAGCCAGTGAATGGGAATAGCATTCTATCCCCTAGAAGAAATCAGCAAAGGATGACAGTTAAAAATAAAAGTAATGAAGTAAAAGGGAAAACAAGCATCTCTGATAATAATGCAAATCATATCGGGAATGGCAAACTGAATTCACCCATCATGAATGGTGAAAGTGCTACACCAACAGGAGGACGTTCTCAAAACATTAATAAACAGTCCACGCCAAAGACATCCACACCTCCTAGCACCGAACGGAAATTTTTTAAAACACGGTCACCCTTAGAAGATACTAAAAGAGGAGTTGCTGTACTGACCAAGGGATTTGGTTTAAAATTTGTAACTACAAAATCAAAACCAGCAGGCAGCAAGAAGAAGCAGCCTGCATTTTCTCCCAGAACAATGCAGAGTGGTTCAAAACCAAGGAAATCCAACAGAAAACAACAAACAAATTCTGTTAAAACAGCGACCCCAGTCTCAGGATTCACATTTGCTCCTGGTTTCTTATCACCAGAAAAAGTTGCGACGGAGAAGTCAGCAGAAGATCGACCAGAAGAAAATGATAATGAGGGTTTTAGTCTTAATAAAAACAACTGCTCTACTTACAGTTCTGCATCACAGAATCACACAGCTGACAAAGTTATTGACAATCAGTCACTTAATGAAGTTGTTGATATCTGTTTGTCTGAAAACTCTGGTCATCAAGTTGAACAACATATTGATCTGTCTGTAAGGATTTGCTCTTCTGTCAGGCTTGTAAATCAGAATTATACCCCTAATGTTGGAGAAGAAGGCCAAACACCGCAATCATCCCATAAACTCTTCCCCATTTTTGAACGTAGAAATGATCAGCCGGCATCATCTAACAAGAAACAGTGAGTATTTCATTAGTTCTGACATTTTACCATGTTTATGATGCCTTAGACATTATGCTTGTGTTCTTGTACTTGTGGTCCGCATAATGGTGCTGGTCAGCTGAGATTTCCTCATTGACACTAGAAATGTTTATGTTGTCAGGATTTAAACACAGACACTGCTGCTGAGTGCATGTATATCATCCATGATTTGGACTTTGCAGCAGTTCTGCTTCTTCTGCTCCTCCTCCTCCTTCCTTTTTCTGTCTTATCCTTTTCCATTCACCTTTAGAAGGGGTGGTTGGCACAGTGTGTTAGGATTTACAGCTATGCTGCAATGTCTTATGGGCCCACCCGCCCATTTTCGCCAAACTCTTAATTAGTCACTTGCCGCAACCCGCTCAGTTTCGCCAAACTATTAATTAGTCACTTGCTGCGACCCGCTCAGTTTCACCAAACTCTTAATTAGTCACTTGCTGCAACACACCCAGTTTTGCCAAACTCTTAATTAGTCACTTGCTGCAACACCCCCAGTTTCACCAAACTCTTTAATTAGTCACTTGCTGCAACACACCCAGTTTCACCAAACTCTTAATTAGTCACTTGCTGCAACACACCCAGTTTTGCCAAACTCTTAATTAGTCACTTGCTGCAACACGCCCAGTTTCACCAAACTCTTAATTAGTCACTTGCTGCAACACGCCCAGTTTCACCAAACTCTTAATTAGTCACTTGCTGCAACACGCCCAGTTTCACCAAACTCTTAATTAGCCACTTGCTGCAACACGTCCGGTTTCACCAAACTCTTAATTAGTCACTTGCTGCAACACGCCCAGTTTCACCAAACTCTTAGTCAGTCACTTGCTGCAACACACCCAGTTTTGCCAAACTCTTATTAGTCACGTGCTGCAACACGTTTTTTTGAGGGGCAGTGTCTCCAATGAGGGGAGGGGGGCACACTGAGAAATTAATTAGTTTCTTTTACATGGAAAAATTTGCAATTTCTCTTGATTGAACTGTTTTCAAATGTTGCCCACCAGGTCTTCAGCATTACAGCTAAATGATACATCCCCAGTATCCATGTCAAGCAAATTACCCAAAGACAGTGGCAGTTCTCAGATGATAATTGTAAGTTTTGGTTTTTCATCTGCTTGCATACATCTTGACTTCCTCCCCCTTTTTTTCTTGTAAAGGTAATTTTAATTTTGCACAGACATCTCCTTAGGTGCCCTGTCTCCTTCCATCGATTACACAAGGGTAATCTCAACAAAGTTCCATAGCGCCAGCTGAGTTTTATGGGAGATAAGAGGCATGAGGAAAAATACAATGCATACCATCAAGTTTGCAGATAACCAAGCCGTCATCTTTATCTGTATCCTCTTCATGTTGCTGTTGACACATAAGGCACTAACTAGTGTTTTTCCTTTCTACCAATCTGCTGCTTTTCTGCTTATTGTATCCCATGTCATTTCACATTGCTTAATTTCCCTTTCTATTATCCTTCTCCAGGATTCCTTATGTCATCCACATCTTTTACGATCTGCCATTTTCAAGAGATCTGTCCCTGCCAAAGTGTCACATGGCATTCTGCAAACATATCCCTCTTCTTGCTTTGATAACATTTGCCACGGATAATCATTTCCCCCCACCCCCCCCCCCCCCCCTACCACTTATCAAGGATGACCCAGTTGTCATCTGAAAGGACTGAGATGATTGTGTGGTCTGGCTCTTCTTGAGACCTGTCTGATATGGGTAAACCAGCATAGCTCTGATAGTCATTAGAGCCACACACCCTCTTGCAACAGCATGGACTTGGCTGTATAGGATGGACCAAACCATCATACACACACCATCTTGCAACAGCATGGACTTGGCTGCATAGGATGGACCAAACCATCATACACACACCATCTTGAAACAGCATGGACTTGGCTGCATAGGATGGACCAAACCATCATACACACACCATCTTGCAACAGCATGGACTTGGCTGCATAGGATGGACCAAACCATCATACACACACCATCTTGCAACAGCATGGACTTGGCTGTATGGGATGGACCAAACCATCATACACACACCATCTTGCAACAGCATGGACTTGGCTGCATAGGATGGACCAAACCATCATACACACACCATCTTGCAACAGCAAGGGGTGGACCAAACCATCATACACACACCATCTTGCAACAGCATGGACTTGGCTGCATAGGATGGACCAAACCATCATACACACACCATCTTGAAACAGCATGGACTTGGCTGCATAGGATGGACCAAACCATCATACACACACCATCTTGAAACAGCATGGACTTGGCTGCATAGGATGGACCAAACCATCATACACACACCATCTTGCAACAGCATGGACTTGGCTGCATAGGATGGACCAAACCATCATACACACACCATCTTGCAACAGCATGGACTTGGCTGCATAGGATGGACCAAACCATCATACACACACCATCTTGAAACAGCATGGACTTGGCTGCATGGGATGGACCAAACCATCATACACACACCATCTTGAAACAGCATGGACTTGGCTGCATAGGATGGACCAAACCATCATACACACACCATCTTGCAACAGCATGGACTTGGCTGCATAGGATGGACCAAACCATCATACACACACCATCTTGAAACAGCATGGACTTGGCTGCATAGGATGGACCAAACCATCATACACACACCATCTTGCAACAGCATGGACTTGGCTGCATAGGATGGACCAAACCATCATACACACACCATCTTGAAACAGCATGGACTTGGCTGCATAGGATGGACCAAACCATCATACACACACCATCTTGCAACAGCATGGACTTGGCTGCATAGGATGGACCAAACCATCATACACACACCATCTTGCAACAGCATGGACTTGGCTGTATGGGATGGACCAAACCATCATACACACACCATCTTGCAACAGCATGGACTTGGCTGCATAGGATGGACCAAACCATCATACACACACCATCTTGAAACAGCATGGACTTGGCTGCATGGGATGGAACAAACCACCAAAGAAGAAAAAAAATTAACTATTTTAGTCATCATCATCTCATAAATCTGTCTGCCGTTAAGAGTTGTGGGAATAAATAATTTGCGATCAAGTGCATGCTGGGTGGCATTGGCTATTGTCACGTCGTACAAGGAAAAAGTGTCTTTAATGTTGTTGATCCATTTATTTTCGTGGCTGTCCTTGCTCTTGTACCTGAGATGTGGTGCCTGTGATGGTATCTAATATTGCTGCGTTATGAGATGGCCAAATCAGTTGAACTGCTGTTTCTTGATGAATCTAGATGTTTCTAGATGTTTCTACAACCTGTGATAATATTATTATCACTCGGTTTTGAATAGTTAGGTTGGTGGCTTTTCTCAGGCACCTCATCTCACAAGTGGTGATTTTGCTTATATGGGTTTTAAATAATGTCCATTTTTGGCACTGATAGCTCAGTGTTGGTCTGAATATACTGTTTATGATCTCAATACTGTTTTAGTGCTCATGAATAATGCGTTAAAATTTCATCATCTCACATGATCACCAGATTTATAGAGATCAGGCTGTGTTCTTGTTCTAACTGTTCTGTGTTATCAAGCCATCCATCCATTTGTTTGTCCATCCATTTATTTGTAGTTGTCTTCTTTCATAACATGTTCATTAAACATTGACTAAACTGTTAGTGAGTAAACATCACAGTGTCCTTTGTACACATTTCCAGGATGCAGGACAGAAAAAGTTTGGTGCCACCCAATGCCCTGTCTGTACTATGGTATATTGTCAGGCTGATCCTGCAGATGAGGCGGCCCATATGAAGTTCCACAGGCAGCATCTGGAAGTTCTCAAGTTTACAGTAAGTAATACAAAAATAAGGGAGTGGCTGGCAAGTAGTTAGAATGCTGGGCTCTCCTTCAGGAAACCACAGTTTAAATCAGTAAGGTGATGGAAATATTTTCTGCCGGGCAGAAAAAAACAAAAATTCTGACTACTAGATATGGGTTGGTTGCACTAGGGGTAGTAGCTAACCGGGAATCTGGATTTTTACCTTGGAAAAGATATATTGACCTTGGGAAAGATGTGTGTGTGTGCAGTTGACTGATCTTCTGTTCATTGTTTAGTTTGCTGGGTGCAGATAATATGCGTTGGAGAAAGGATGGGGGAACGGGTGCAAATGGTGTGCATTGAAGGAAGGGTGGGGGAACGGTGAGGTGTGTTGTAAGAAATGGACTGATTGAAGCCACACACTGACAGCCAGTATGTGATGGGAAGGGGCGGCTTGCACACCAGCCTTTTTTCTGGACAAGGTTTAAATTAGGAGAGGGTAGGGCTGGCAAAGTGATGATGTCACTTGGATTTCCCAATTCTATTTTAGGCACAGCTCATCCACAGCTGGTCTCCAGCTTTATCAACTGATGGAGGTCTCAGGTCTGGGCTCATTCTACTGTGCATTTGGCACTCAGTGGTCTCCACCCCCCCACCCCCCAATATCTTTTCTTCTCTCACCGCTCTTTTACCTTCAATTTGTTCACTCGTCTACCTCTCTCTTCTCCTTTCTCCATTCTTTGTCTCATTCCATCCCTTCCCTCTCTATCCTTACTTTGTTTTCGTGATCTCACTCCTGTCTGTCTCCTGCATTCTCTCTCTCTCTCTCTCTCCTCCAGTATTCTTCTTCTATCTGTGTCTTTCCTTTTACTCTCTTCTTTCCTCCTCCTCCTCCCCCCCCCCCCCAAATTATTTCTTTTTTACTAAATGTACTGCTCCATAACTGTCTTTTCCAAATAACTGTCCAGTACACAAGAAGTTTGATTTTTTATTTCAAGGTCAGTTTTGTCTTAGGTTCTAATAATGAAGTCGGGCCCAGTGAGTTGAGATTGGACGTTCATTGATGCATCTTAACCTTTGAGACGCGTAAGTCTAAGTGGCAGGGTTGTCAGATTGGTGCCAGGTTATATTGTGTCAACGGTCTTACCGGCAACCAAGCATGCTGTATATTAAAGGATGTGAGCAGTTTTAACGACCACAAAACATGAACAACTGGCCATAACCCCAGCCCCCTACCCCACAGACTGAACCTAGGTCTCACGATAGAGTGCGGTGGCCTGCAAAATGCTGTGAAACATAGCGGTACCCTCCTCGTCGCCTGCCAGGGGTGACAGCTGAAATAACCTCATGTTCTACTCAGAGTCTGAGGCGGCTAGCATATTCCCACTAACAAACACTGATTCTGCTTACGATTGAAAACGCAATGTCGATGGGCGCTGCTCACACAACAACGATTAACACGCAATGCAAAAAGCATTGCAAAGACAACAGTACATCCTAACACCCCTTTAACATAGACCAGCCTGTACAAGCAGCAATAAAAGGTAGGCTAGTGTGTAGCTAGGTCCGACTTCGTTACTACAACACTGTCTTTTGATATGTTATATTTGTTAGCACCCTTAGTGTTTGAACTGACTATAAACATATTTTCAATCTTTGTCCTCTCCCAACCAGCCCCCTCATTTTTTGTCCTACCTGCCTTTTACTCTTTGCATGTCTGTCTGTCACTGCCTCTCTCTTTCTATTTGCCATTCTCTCTCTCTCTTTTTTTCTCTCCATACCTTCAATTGGAGTAGCAAGGTCATGTGGTTCCTAGTGCAGAACATTTCCTGTCCACCACTTCCTCGCATCATCAGGGAAGGCTCGCTCATGGGCCACTCAAACATCCAAGACCTACAACAGATTGCAACGAACCGCCATGCATGGAGAGTCATGGCCTCTGCCCTATGTGCCGCATTCGACACAAGAGGAAAGACTAACTAACTTCCTCGCACACATATTGAATAAATAAATAATTTTAAAAACACATTTGCCATCTCCTCCCCCCCACCAACCCACCCCCCACAGTGATAACATTTGTCTTTTCCTAGTGGTTGTGTCCAGTACACACACAATTGTGTTATGTTTGGGGAGTGGGTGGGGTTTCAGTATGAGGCTGATGGTTTTTTCTTTTGATGTGTTGTTATATTTGTTAGCAATTCTGGCATAATTTTACTCTCTGTCTTGTCTCCCTATCTGTCCCTCTCTCTTTATCTCTGTTTGTCACTGCCTTCCTCCCCCATCTCTCTCTTTACATCTGTTTGCCTCTCTCCATCACTTCCTCTTTCTGTGCCCTTTTCTCTCTTTGGTTCTCTCCCTCTGTATGTTTGCCTCTCTATACTGTCTCTCCCTTCTCTCAGTCTGCATCTCTGCTTGCATCTCACTCTCTACCTGTCCCTTCTCTCTACCTCTGTCTTCCTTCCTCCAACTCTTTTGTCTGTCGTGTTTTCCTCCTTTTGTATCTGTTTCTATCTCTTCTTCCTCCTCTCTACATTTGTCCATATCTCTATATGCATGTCTCTCTTTTTTAATCTGTCTCCATCTCTCTTTCACTTTCCCTCCCCCACTCTTCCTCATCATGTCTCCATCCCTCCCTATCTTTTTCTTTTTTCCTCCTTTCCTCTTTCCCTTCTTCCCCCTTTCCTCATTTGTCCATCTCTACCTGCCTCTTTCCCCACACTGTCTCCCTCTCTGTCTTTCACACTGTCTCTCCCACTCTACCTCAGTATCTGTCTTCCTCCCTCTCTGTATTACTCTGTCTCTCCTTCAGGTACCAGGTCTAGAACAGACAGGACTTCAATTTGCTTCCCTATGCCACTAAGTTTAGAAAAAAAATTTTAGAGACACTATATCTGTGCTGGTATACCCTCATTTGTGAGCAGGAATAAAGTACCATGTGTGCTCTGTACACCCTTGAACAAGGCCAAAATACTTTGCCTCAGTATTATCCCAACCCAACCTTGAAAAAAAAAAAAACTCCCTTGAAAATGATCTTGAAAAGCCTTGAAATTGATTGGCTACGAACCCTGGGCTGAAGAATAAACATTTGTACAACAGAAATTTTACCAGTGATCAAAAGCCTCCTTATGGAGGTGGAGTTTATTCACCTGTTGAAAATGTTATATAAAGCTAATAATGAACTTCCTTGTGCTTTCGCAGGGCTGGAAGAAAGAGCGGGTTGTGCAGGAGTACCCAGAAGACCTTGGTCGAGTCATTCTAGTTTTGCCCGATGATCCAAAGTATGCAAAAAAGAAGGCAAGTGATACATTTGTTTGTGCCAAAACATTTTTCATGCCAAGATTTGTTTCCCCTTGATTACTGCCTACACCTGGTTTGATGTTGACTGCACTACCCATCCAGGGCTGAGTGGTCTATAAAATACGAGTCTAACATCACATGCCCAATGTGCCACTGCTTTTAAAATTGTTCTTTACTTCTTTGGGGGGTGGGGGGCGGCTTGTACTGGAAAACCCTCATGTATGCTCTGAGTTTCATTATCATCCTGTTGTGGCATTATCCGTCACATAGAGCTAAGATTCTGGTGCTGTATTTCATTCTGTTCTGTGCAATCGACTCTTTATCATGAATAGAGTTTAGTCCACTTGGCCTCTGTCTGAGGGTTTTTCTCGGACGTCCTCGTTTCCTCAATCCGTTTGTTGCCCATTTCACTGCTCGTTCTGTTAGTTTTTCTGCATATGTCCAATATATTGCCATCTTCTTTGTCATGTAATTGAAATAAGCGGTTATCCAGGCATTTCTATTCTTTCTCATTTAACTTCTGTTCATGTCTCTACTAGTTCTTCAGCTTTCACTAGCGTATGTTTTAAAATACATAACTTGGTTTTAAAACCACATAATTTATAATTTGATATTTTGTTCAGACTTTTAAAAGCGCTGTTGTCTTGTTAGTACATAATTCTTTCTTTGTGTTTTCTTGGCAGTTGATACCTAAACGTGTAAATGGATCAGTAACTCTAATTCATTTTGTCTCCAATGTGACATCAGCTTAATCTGTTATTGCTGCTTCAGAATATTTGTCTTCTCATAATTAATTATTTAATTTGACCATTGACACTATAAATTTATAGATACGGGGAGAAAAAGACAGTCTTAAGGGCTGAAATTTCCAAGCGCTTTGTATGTAGTGTCTACTAATAAAACTTTTTCTTTTTCTTTTCACTGTAGTTAAATTTCAGACATCTTTCTTTTTACAACATATAGTAGCAGTGTAATGTAGGAGAGCATGCAAATAATTAACTTTGATCTTCAATAGAACATTGAAACTCAAGAGACACTACTAATCACCAGATCATTATAATCTCTTAACACTTACTGGAAGATATTAAAATAAATTGGTGATCAATTTCACTAATGACCTTCTTGTAACAATTCCTTCAAATTAACAATGATTGGCTATTGGTTGCTTGCTCATGAAGATTTCTGTTTGCAGTTTGAAATCACTGGCACTTTGAAGATCTGATGAGGACATCGGTAAGAAAGTTGGTTGTCTTGTAATAATGCTGGCTCACTAGGGAACAGACAGCTTTCTTTAATTAATATTGCAAAATAGCGGTCAATTTCCAAATACACATGTCAGTTTATTCTTCCAGATTCTTACATTTCACAGTTATTCAGTTATCAGCATCACTGCTTGTTGCCACAATACATCTCTAGTGATCATTCACACAACGCTAAGGCATTTTAGTTACTACATCACCCCTGTCTTCTTCAAGCTCTGGTTTCCAACTGACCACGAGCCAACCATCTGGTTTTGCCTTGTTCATATCTTCACCTCCAAATATCATGTGCGTCTTTTCTTGCATGGGTTTTAAGCTTGGCTTGCTTTAAGTGTGGACCACCACGCAAAGCACTTCATCAGATTTTTTGCTGTGTGCAAGCTTATGATAGATAGTTTGAATACAATGGTAAAATGTCTATGCATAAACTTGTTGTCATCGTAGGTAGAGGATGTGAACCAGCTGATGGGCAAGGAGCTAGGATTTTCTGACACATCAACACCAATTCACCCATATCACAAGGTATGTGTTGTGCCTAATACATCTTTGACTTTATTTCATAAAATTAAACATAGTTTAATAGCTGTGTTTAATCGTTCTATGCAGTCATTTTTTTTTTAAAAACTAGTCTTGAAACTGTTGTAAAGAAGAATCCATGGAAATGTATTTATGGTACACATTATTTATAAATGTGTATACAGCTAGCTTCATAGCAATTACTGCTGTTGGGATAAGCACTGGGTATTTTCAAATTCTAATCCACGGAATGCAAGATTTAGCGACTGATATTGAACACACAGATCTTAGTCTATAAAAGGATGGGAAACATTTTTACAATTATAAATTGTTTTTCTAGATATCTTAACATTTTCAACAAACGAAGTAGAAAAGCTACAGGCACAAAACTCATGAACATTTTTTTTAGTGACTCCATGATGAAGAAGATCAATATGTGGAATGAAAATGGTGTTAATCACTACAAAGTCCAACGCTTTGTCCCATCACCTTTATCATTGTCCCAGTTTATGTCAGTGTGAAAGGCAATGAAAGGGGAGATACCCTTGTAGGCAGTGCCACCCTAGGAAGTTGCCCTTCGCTGGACAGAAAGAACATAATGCTATAGAGAGAACACAAGCTGAAAGCTTCAAACAAGAGGATGTGAGTGATTTCTCTCTGACTCCGGTGCAAAGTCTGGTTATATCAATTGGAGTAGCTTTCCATGAAAAGCAGGCAAGAGTCCATAGTTTGTACATCAACCATTACAGAACATAAGTCATAAACATCAAAGACATGCTTAGGAAAGATCAGAGCACTTACACGTACACCTGGTGTGCTATAAAGATGATTCTGTAATGAATTGTGAAGCTTCTCCTGGCAGTACATGTCACTAATATAGCTTTCAGGAGGTTGAACAGAGTATATGATATTTGCCCTGTTGGTTTTCCATCTACGATGTGACTTTTGAAGCTGCAGAGGTGGTTGAATTATCAGCTAGCAATAGATATAAATAGACCCCCCCCCCCCCCCCCCTGCCCCCTTTAAAAATTAATAAGGTATCTGCCATTCATAGAAACTATGCCAACTTTTAACATTGTCTCAGATGGTCTAGTCAGGCCAGATTACAACTTTAAAGAAATGCACAAGCTTTGGTTGATGTTTATCATCATGTTGCAGAACGTCGCTCCCATCAGAGTCTGCCTGAAAGAAACTTGGTATCTCACCATTTCTTCCACCTTGTGCACTTTCATATTTAAAGAGTCACTTATAAATAACTGTGCCCATCTTCACGTTGGTTGCCCCCTGCACTTCCTTCCTGGTAGCATGCCTTTTGCTATTATTTTTTCCCAGTCTGCCATGGTGCTTGGTAAGACCAAAATATTTAAGCTTCCGAGACAAGGTGTTATTTATTAGCCAGTCTTCCTTGATGTTCAGATCTTTAGAATGTCAGTATTTCTTCTCTTCTTTGTCCTTTGTATTCTGAGAATCTTTCTATAGCATTTCAGCTTAAAGCTTTCAGCTTTATCTTTCTTAAGGAAAAGGAGAAAGTCCATGACTCAATCTGTATGTTACTACAGGGAAGATGCATGCTCTCAAAATATGAACTTTGATTTTCTTGCTGGGGCCTAATGATAGATGTTGTCAGTCAGTGTTACAGAAGTCAATTTATACTTCATTCATAAACTAGGTGTTCATTTTCTGTCAGTTATTTTTGATAAAGTAAAAATAAAAGTCAAGGTATTTAGGCCATTGGCGCATTGGGCAGATGGCGCTAGACCTATATTTATGTAAACAACTTTGCACTTGGTGGTGATATGGTCAGCATTGGTGCACTTGGTGGTGATATGGTCAGCATTGGGTAGGCTGCCTTTTCTTTACATGGCATTCCCTAGTACTCACTGTAGGCTGGGTTAATTGGGATCCCTATGTAATTTACAATAAAAAATATTCCTTAATATAGATTCAAACAGTAAGAAATGCAAACCAGAAAGCAAAAGTCTAGCCACTTAGCTACCATTTTAGCTCCTGCTAAAAGATGTTTAGTTTGTGACAAATGCTGTTTCTGTGCTGACTTTGATGGCAGTTTTTGTTTTGATGGCAGGTATTTCTGTATGTGCAAGACAAACAAATAACTGGCTGCTGTGTTGCTGAACCCGTTCAGGAGGTTAGTTTCTTTATTTTCTTTGGTTTATAAAAGTGCTCCAGACTTTATGCAACAAGAATCCTTAGTTATGTTACAGTATGTAATGGTTAGTGGAGAACAGCAATGGAGAGTATGTTTCCAGGAGAAAGAGGCAGAGAAGGAAACACTGCGCATTCATGAGGACCAATAATATTAAACTACGCTTCTCTGAAACAGGTCACAACAGTCAGGCCGGTTTTCGGATGCAGCAATGAAATAAAAGTCTTGTTCAGGTCTTCCTAGGATGAGAGGATTAAGAGTTAGTTTTTATGACTGCTTTCTGTGCTAAATTAACATTATGACAATAAAAGAAAGATTACAAATATATAACCTGTCCTGACACAGTGAGGCATTCGGGGAGTAGAGAAAATTAGAATGAAGAAGAACCTGTGTAAAAAAATAAAAGCTGTAGTGTAAATTATTCTGCTACATAAGATTTTAAAATGTGTGTTCATCTTACATTGTTCAGGGGTACCGCATCATACCAGGGGACTTGGACAATAGTCAAGAAAGCGGACAGAGACCATGGTGTTGTTCTCAAGTCCCAGAGCCTGTTTGTGTGGGCATTAGCCGCTTGTGGGTTGCTGCTTCAAGCAGAAAGACTGGAGTGGCTACAAAGCTGGTGGACTGTGTCAGGTGTGTGTTTTGGAATGTTTTACACAGTTTTTAGTGTGGTGGTGCATGCCTATATGTGTGCGTTTATATGTATATTGATTTAAGAATTGACATCATAGCCCACTGGGCATACCCACAGATGGTCTGTCTCCAGCATGTCTTTATGAGTAGATGCTGTTTTCCTAGCATACTGAATATACATACGTCGTTCTCTTCCTCTCATAAGTCCCTCCTTGCCTGATTCATACCCAATTCCTTATTCACACATTCATACAGTTATTCCATATAATCTTGTCTTCTGTCAGCATTCGTTCATACACGGTCTTAGAATGTCTCCTTTGCCCAGTACGAGTGTTCCAGTAACTGTCACTGTTGTAGCCATAAAATGCGCTCCTTTATTCTCTTGCACTCCTGCATATCACAGACAGTATATCCATGTGTTCCCTGTAATGTTGATGTGCTAATACTTGATATCCGCTCATGCCGTGTTTGTCCATTTTGGACCTTCCACATTTATATATGCATGCATGTGACTGAACTATGAATAATGTTTATTTATTTGTATGAATGTATGCATATACGTGTGCGAAGGAATGTAACTCTTGTTACATGATTAGTATGTATGTGCTTAGTATTCATATTGTGAGATGAACCTAATATGCACAGTGTATAACATATAAATGCTGCGCAAAAAAAATGTGGTGCCACCTTCACAGTGAAGGTTGGCTACAAGGCACCGAATACTGTCTTTAGGAATATTATGTGGTGAGACCCCTGCCTCATCCCCGGTGGACTCTCGTATCACTGTCTAAAAACCATAAGAGTGGTATAGAAAGACACCCACCATAGACATTGAACCCTAGCACTCGAGGATTGCTAAATGCATTCACTAACCTCTGCACCACAGAGCAGCACCAACAAATTATGTGCAGTCTCCACAATGTATGAAATGCTAAATATAACACAAAATGTGACTAGACAGCTCAACGGAGGGGATGTAAAAGACGCACACAACCGAATGTTTTGACCAGAGTCTTTATCAACGGAGTACTAAACACAGCATAAACTGTGACTAGAAAACTCAGCGGACAAGACAATACCACTAAAAAAAAATTTGCAACATGGAAAACAAGAAGTACATAATGAGGGGAAAAGTATGAATATGAAAGCAATAATGTGAAATGAAATAAATAAAGCGTATGTGAAAAGAGGGGAGAAACATGAATAAGTTAAATAAATGAATTTAAATAAAGCTATGTTAAATATATATAAAAAACTCAAGAGGAATTATGTTGCTGTCAGTTCCTGGAAAAATATTAAGTAGAATTATTTTGGAAAGATTAAAAGATGCTATTGATAAAATGCTAAGAGATGAGCAGACAGGTTTTCGGTCAAACAGATCCTGTACTGATCAGATAGCCACATTACGTATTATAATAGAGCAAAGCATTGAATTGAACTCACCACTTTACATTGGATTTATAGACTATGAAAAAGCATTTGACAGCATAGATAGGGAATCTCTCTGGAAATTGATGGGGCACTATGGAATCCCACAGAAAATTATCAACTTAGTAAAGGCAACATATAAAGACATGAAATGTCGAGTTCTTCATGAGGGAAAACTAACAGATGCATTTGAAATAAAAACAGGTGTGCGACAGGGATGTCTTTTGTCACCCCTCTTATTTTTACTGGCTATAGACTGGACTATGAAAACAGTAACTGCTAACACCAAGAATGGAATTCAGTGGACCCCTACAAAACAGCTTGATGATCTGGACTTCGCTGATGATATTGCTCTTCTGTCCCATTCACGGAATCAGATGCAAGATAAATTAAATATACTTAATGCGAGATCAAAGCAGCTTGGTCTGAAAATCCAAAAAGGAAAGACAAAGATAATGAGAATAAATCAGGCAAATAGTAATGTTGTTTCTATTAATGGCACCCCACTCCAAGACGTGGAGTCGTACACCTATTTAGGCAGTAATGTAGATAAAGATGGAGGAACTGATAGAGATATTAAAATAAGAATACAAAAGGCAAGAGGGGCTTTCATAGCACTAGGGAATTTGTGGAGGTCAAAAGAAATTAAAAGAAATACTAAACTAAAAATTTTTAATTCTAATGTCAAATCAGTACTATTGTATGGGGCGGAAACATGGAGAACAACCAAGGCAATTACTAATAAATTACAGACATTCATTAACTGGTGCCTGCGCAGAATAGAGGGAATAAAATGGTATGATAGAATAACTAATGTAGAACTTTGGGAGAGAACTAAACAGGCTCCAGTGGACCAGGAAGTGAGGAAAAGACGTTGGCGTTGGATAGGGCACACACTGAGAAAACAGGAGAACAGCATTACTAGAATGTCTTTGCATTGGAACCCACAGGGGCATAGGAATAAAGGAAGGCCAAAAAACATATGGAGAAGAGAGCCGGAGAACGAGGTTAGAAAGATTGGGAGGACATGGGGAGAGCTCCATGCAATGGCGAAGAATAGAACGACTTGGCGTGAGTTGGTTGAGGGCCTATGCTCCATTGGGGGATAGAAAGGCAGAAGAAGAATGTTAAATATTGATCCCTCCAGGACTGAAAACATCAAAACTATGAATGAAATGATTTTCTAATGAGTAGCGGCTGGTTTGATCACCAGAGCAGGATTTAATGTGTAGGTTGGCCACATCGTACCACTTCAGTATTTAAGATCATTACACCTCTGCAGAAATCAAACCCTAGTACTCGAGGATCATAAAATTGTTAAACCCATTTGTTTAACCGCTTCACCGTGTGGCTTACGAAACCCCATTGTGGGGAAAACAAGAACAGATCCACTGCCTTTCCAGCAAGCATATTGTAGGAGTACAACAACTGAGAGAACAATCAACTGCACACAAATAAGCCAGTAAAACTGATGTACACGCAAAACTCAGGCCCTGGCACAAAGCCAAATGGACGAACAACCAGGACTTTTCGCTAGAGCTTACAGCTGGTGAACAAAGAAGAAGTAGTTTAACCTCTAAGATACAGCCACACTGTATGAAAAAACTCAAATGTTTGGATGGGCCTGAATCCCCTATATGTGAATCTTTCAAAATAAAGTTTGTTTGCTGACTGTGGTGGGATGGAATTTAAAAAAAAAAAAACCATTGGTCTCAAAACAATTTGCGCAGCATAATTTTTTTTTGCAGCATAATTTTCTTGGAAGGGAACATGATGAAGGAAAGAATTGATCACTTCATTTCCAGCATGCTAGGTGATAAAACATTTGTGTTAATTTGCGGCTTTTCATCTTTCTTGATAAGTTTGGCCATTGATTGTCTTTTTTACAACTCTGTGAATAAATACAGCTCTTTCATCCTGTACTACACAGATCTGTCTGTTTTTTCCCTCTGCCACTTGACAAGCCCATCCACCTTTCTTACTTTTTTCCCTCTTTCCATCCAAATTTTTTCCCTCTGCCTTTCTGCAGACGCATACAACTTCCTTCCCGTCTGCCACTTTACGACCCTCACACGCACCCCTTTTCCCAGAGATGCATCCCAAACATGTCCAGCTGTTCCCCCTGCGTGACTCTGAATCCATGCAGCCCCTGCCCCCAACACCCACCCTAGTCTCAGACCTCTAAAAATCTTCCTGCTTGTCACTGCATCCCACTCCCTGTGTGGATTTCAGGGCTCCACTGTCGGGAAAACAAGAATCGACCCACTGCTTGCCCAGCAAGCATGTTGTTAGAGTCAAATAAATGGGGCATTCCTTCGAAGTTGGAGTGCGTCTGCCTGAGAGGCAAGGAGCCAACAGTCAGCGTGTAAAAAAAGCCAGATCTGTCAAATTGAAGTGCATTCAACACTCAGGTAAACGCGAAGATTAAGACTCTGCCCTGCATTGTGTTTCTACAGTAATTCTTCTGTTCTCGCCTCAACAACAAGTGATATTTACCATTTTGTTTACTTGCTTTACAGGCAGTGGTTCAGTTATGGTAGCCTCATTCCCAAACACAAGGTTGCCTTCTCTGACCCGACACCGGATGGACGCAGGTTTGCACAGAAATATACGGGGACTCCAACATTTTTGGTTTACAGATACAATTATGGATAAATGTGTATCTGATTATTGAAGATAGTTGCATTCACAGTCCATAATATTCTAAATGAAGAATTCTGTATTTATTAGAGGTAGTCATATTTATGTTTATTTTCCTGTCTGGGTTTCGGGTCCTGATTTTGGGGCAAAGAAAATATAGATCGTCTGCCTTCTTAACAAGCATGTCGTAAAAAGTGACTTATTATTCCTGTTTCTTTCTAAGTCTGGCTTAATCTGTCTGTGAGTTGAGAACTATTAGTCTGCATATAAATAACATAGATCTGTAAAACTGATGTCCATGCAAAACCCAAGTCCTGGAACCAGGTCAAGGTTAAAAAATGGTTGAAAAACCGGAACTTTCTGCTGACGTTTACAGCCAGTTTATATTATGCTTATTAACTCGCATTACTACCGTTCCATATGTAAGGCATGTAGATAGAAGACAGCATGTCTACATGCTTGTTATTTGCCCTAAAGAAACAGTACTTCTCTCTGTTATTCCCGACTTCACACCTTTAAATCTACTCCTTAATATCATATTTCTTATTCCAACCATATGTGATATTTCTGTCTGCCATATTTCCTTATTGGTACAGCCTTAGGGTTGACCAGCCTCATAAAATGAGCACTGGACAATTTTCAGGAACTGTCAGGGGAAAGCGTAATGAAGCCAGCTCACCCCACTTGATCAATCTGTGATCTAGTGTATGGGAAGGCCTAACACTTAACCCTTTATGGCTGTGTCTGCCTTTGCCTTCTAGAGTGAGAAGTACATGTAATTTCACACAGGAAATTTACACAACCAGTCACAAGTTGTTTTGTTATGATGTATTTGTTATTGTGTGGACTTTACATTATGTATACTTCTTAGTGACTTGGACCAGTGGTACTGTAGTCGGTCACTGTGGTGAGGGATTCACTTTGTTTTAGCGAATGTAAAGTGTACAGAAAATATAAGATAATTCTTCCTCTGTTCTGTACAAGACAAATAAAGACATAGAAAATACTGTTGCCTGCTGCTGCAGTAGGCTAGCAACTTTGAAACTTGAGCTAGATTAGAGTGGTGATTTCTGTGAAGATGGCTATTCCTTGTCAGAAACAACCAGCGTTATTTCAAAAACCAACCCCATTTTAGAAGTTTATCTTAATTTATCTAAAAGCTTGCATAGCAAGGAAACTATAAGGGAGGCAAGTGGAGACATGGAAGACTTTATCTCTATGCTGCATATTGTGTTCTGTAAGGCAGAAATGGTTGGGGAGAGTTACATGAGAGGGCCTCCTTTTAATTTTTAGATAAGAGAAAGTCAAAGAAGCATTTGGGACATTCCTGTAGCGCTCCATCCAGCAGCCAATGCAGAGTTCAATTCTGATGGTACCGGCATTGTCTGATTGTACGTCTGCCTTTCCTCTGAGTAACTCACCTTAGGGGGGGGGGGGGGGATAAAGGGGATGGGTTAAATGTTGTTTAATATAATAAATAAAGCCCTTTTTGGGAGACCATGTGATGATTTGTGTCTTGTCTGCACAATATTTGTTATTTACTTATGACAGATGTTCCATATGCACATCGGTTTTAAGTCTTGACACATTAGTACTTGTTATTATTTGTTTGTTTTGTTATCCATGTTTGTTGTTTCACTTTTTTTTGGTTTATATTTTTGCACCCAGTGCATATATCTTATAGTTTCAGGTTTTCTCAAATATGTTTGATCAACCGTAATAAAATTAAAAACTTTACTTTTCAGTACCAGGCACATTTAATTTACAGAGATTAATGCAATGAACTGTGACTAAAACACGTAATTAAATGGGGAAGGAGGACGATGTGCACAAAACAGACAAATCGTTTCCCTGCAGCCTTTTTTGTTTTAACTTAATTCTGTTTTATCCTGTGCAATCGTTTCGATATGGATGGAAAACCAGTCCAACACCCTGGTCTTTCAGCAAATACGTCTACATCATTGCTTAATTTGTGTGTATGGTTATCTATAAAGCATTGAGATCATGAAACATGTTCGTGACCAAATTTGTTTTTGCCACATTTGTGTGCTTTTGAAAATATTGGAGTTGAAATATGAAGACATTTGTTTATAGCTTCACTTTTGCTGAGTGACCAGATGTTTAGTTGCTCAGAAGTAATTTTGTTTGTTAGTTTTCTTTGCTTTAAATAAAAGCATACTATTTTTTTTTTTTTGACTACCTCTTCTTGAGCAGATCCTGAGTTAATGAATTTAAGTTACCATTTTTTCACTGCCATTGTAGATCAGTAGTGTTCAATAAAGCAGGATTGTATGCTTCTGTTGCCAAAAACTTGATCAAGCTATACTTTGCCACTTAAATATTGCTGAAAATATGCAGCAGTGAAATACCCTGGGTATGAACACATCATTTGTGGAAATGTGAAACCTACCACCGTGTGGGTTCCGGGGCCCCATTGTAGAGGAAAACAAGAATAGAACCACTGCCTCCCTAAAAGCATGTCGTAAGAGTTGACAAGTTGGGGAGCTTCCTTTGAAGTCGGAGTGCATCTGCCGGAGAGGCAAGGAACCAACAGTCTGTATTCAAGAGAATGAGATCTGTAAAACTGATGCTCACGCAACACTCAGGTTCTGGAGCAGGACTGCAGTTCAGTAGTGGACGAGCAACCAGAACTTTCCGCCAGAGTGTACAGCTGGTGAACGCGAAGAAGAAGAAGCCAACACCTACACTTGGACTGTAAGGTTCAGGTATGGAATATTACTTACCACTTCACACTTTTTTGACAGTATCATGAGTGCCTTTTTTCTAGGAAATGTAATGCACCCTTTTCAACATAAAATCCTCTGGCAATGGCTGCAAGTAAATGATGCTTTTTATACCATTGACACATTTAGCATGTGGTTTTTAGGTCTGTATTTTCTATAAAACAATCAGCACTTGGTGGGTGATGTGGTCAACACCATGGGGGGCACCATTACTTTCCAAAATAATTCCTGCTATATACTATTTGCTTAAGAAACTGGGAAACCCAGGTCAGTTACATAAAATTCACATATACACAAATTCTATCTTCAGACAGGCAAATATTTGGCCACTGTGCTAATATAGCTTACCTAGACTGGTTGTGCTATTCATTTGTGTAGTATTACTTTAGTGTGGTGCCTAGAGACATGACTGCACTTTGTTCCAACAGATAAGTTTTGCAAAGACAATAAAAATGCATTATCAGAGAACAAAAGGAACAGGTAGATCCAGACAGCTTCACCTGCTTGTTTTGAGCCTGAAAATATGGTTATGGAAAACAAACTCGACCTCTTCAAAAATTATTAGGAGTGTTTAATTTGAAACCTGTTCATGCTGCAGTGTGCGTAATTGCATGTGTCGAACGTGATTATATCATAGTCATGTGAGAGGTACTGACCAAGGGTTGTTTGTAAGCTAATGCAATACTGCAAGGTATGTTCACAGTGGGTACCACGTATTGAACGCAGTAATTACTTGGTTCAGTAAGAAACTAATCTTTTTTTTTCCTTTTCAAATTTTTGGGATGTCATTTGCTTCCTACTTAAGCAGTTTGAATGTTTGTGTATTTCTGCCACACCTGGAATTTTCGTGCTTTTGTAATAAAGCCATTGGAATGGGTTTAAAATAAACACTGCGTTACAGTTGTAACTCGTAAATGTCCGCTTACTTATAAGTCAGACCTGGTATACGTCCTGTTTAGATGCGACAAATTTTGCTTTGTATACAGCTTGTATACGACTGCCATGTTAGAACTTGTATGGGTAAAAAAGTGTCACTACACTGTGCTACTCTTGTTTACCTGTAATTAATTTAGGAATTGTTTGCCAAATAGATGCAGTGTTTAAATTATTGTATACAACCTGTCAATGTATAAAATGCTTAAAGCAATAGGTTTTATTATCATTGGAATGGATTAATTATTCTTTCTTTATTTCTTATGGAAGAATTCATTTGATATATGATCTGTTAGGTATACCTTTAAGGATCTGGTACATATTGAGGACATACACCAAGACACCAGTATACTATCAAAATCATAGAGAAGACCAACCATATAGGTTATGATGAAACAAAGGCTAATGCGCAGTTAGGTTGCTAACAGTTTTGGGAATTAAAGAATACACAATGTAGTGATAGAGATTCATGAATTAGGATTTTGTGGTGGATATTTTAATAACAATGGATTATAATGTTTGCTTGTACATACCACCTAATATGTCAATATATTTAAGTGCCTGTTAGTTCTGTTGTTTCATTCTGTTAACATTTCTGATATTACATTACCAAAATTGTGTTGTTTTATTTTGACTTCTGGTTTTTGAGTCCTGATTATTTGACAAAGGAGTGGCTGGCTAAACAGATAAGAACACGAGCTCACGCAGAAGACCCTGGTTTGAATCCTCTGGAAGGTCAGAGGGAAAAAATCTTAACCTGTACCGCCTGCACTGGCCATGTTGCTGTTACTCCTTCATGCTCGAAGACATCCCATAAACTGCACAAATAGTAAATACAGGCAGTAATGACAGTTCATTTGACAATCAGTTAATAGGGATAGCCCTAACTTGAAACTAAGCACAGTGAAAATTTGAATAAGTTATGGAGAAGTTATTTTATGATTTCTGTTAATTTTGCAAAATGCCTTGTATGGATTAGGACAAAAATCATCATGGTAAATGTGGCCAGCAAGATGCAAAAGAAACTCATCAGTAAAAAGATTTTAACTGCAGTGTGTTAAAGCGCTATACAGAACTTACTGTTGTATGCATGTGAGACATGGACAAAGGCAGACAAGCTGGAAAAATGCCTACTCACAGCAAAGATATGATGTGAGGAGAATGCAAAGAACATCATGGAGTAACAGAAAAACAAGTGAGGCAGTCCTTGAGACATAAATTATAAACTTATTCTTTCGTTTGCTTGAAATAAATGATCTATATCTGCAATGGCTGATTCACCAGTTTTGAATTTTCTTAACATGTGACTGTGAAGCTGACTGTGCCCCGTTCTAAGGC